TGCACAACTCGTCATACCTCACAACGTGTCTTTTGTACAAAGCAACAAAAACAAATATACCATTGAATTGTGAGTAAAATATTTGTGAGTAGAACAGGCTGAGTTTCTCAAAGTTGTTTATCGTTTTTGTGTAGAGAAAACCATTTACCTTAACTTAAAACTACCATTAGATACAGTACTTTAGATTTAATATTGATAAAAAGACATCAACAGCTATCATTTCATTTCTTACTATTAAAAAAAGGGCTGATAAAAACTACTACCATCAAAGCCAGCCGCCGCTACTTTTTATAGTATTTTTATAGTGCGAATAACAGACTATTTTTAGAAGTTTAAATCATTAGAATTTAGAACAGTGGAGAATACATCCCATTCTGCGATTTTGAACATTCCGGAATCAGTTCCCGCCCCGAAATCGATTCCACCGATTCCGGAACAACATTCAACCACGCCACAATCCAATTCCGGAATCATTTACAACAAATCCCATCGATTCCGGAATCGCTCACCTTTGGCATCACTCTCATCGACTGAGGCTTATAACTGGATATAATTCCGCGTCCCGATTCCGGATGCCATGCGGATCCGGAATCGCAAGGATTTGGAAGGAATTCCGTGGAATTCCTGGTGATTCCGGAATCCCTGAGCCTTGCTATCACTGTCATTGACTGAGGCTTATAACTGGATGGAATTCCGGGTATCGGACGGATCCGGAATTGCAAGGAATTCCACGGAATTCCTAGTGATTCCGGAATCGCTCAGCCTCGGTATCATCGTCATCGGCGGAGGCTTATAACTGGATGTAATTCCGGGACGGAATTCCAGGTATCAGACGGATTCCGAATCTCAAGGATTTGGAAGGAATTTCGCGGAATCGTTAGTGATTCCGGAATCGCTCAGCCTTGGTATCACCGTCATCGGCTGATGCTTATGACTGGATGTAATTCCGCGGGCGGAATTCCGGGTATCGGACGGATCCGAAATCGTTCTGCCTTGGTATCACTCTCAACAGCTGAGGCTTATAACTGGATGTAATTCCCGGATGGAATTCCGGGTATGGTACGGATCCGGAATCGCAAGGATTTGGAAGGAATTCCGCGGAATTCCTTGTGATTCCGGAATCGCTCTGCCTTGGTTTCACTCTCAACAGCTGAGGCTTATAACTGGATGTAATTCCCGGATGGAATTGCGGGTATGGTACGGATCCGGAATCACAAGAATTTGCATGGAATTCCGCCGAATTCCAAGTGATTCCGGAATCGCTCAGCCGTTGTATCACTCTCATCGGCTGAGACTTATAACTGGAGGATGGGTGTATGGGTGGGTGTGCATATCTTCGCATTACGCACATTCACAGCCATGCCCCACACTCGCACCCAGACCCACACCCGCACCCTGATCCCGACCCAGACCCACACCCGCACCCTGACCCCGACCCAGACTCAGACCCACACCCGCACTCTGACCCAGACCCACACTCACACCCCGAAAATAACGATTTCTTATAAAGTATGATCAAAGACGTTCGGGGTCGAGGAATCCGAATCCGTTGTCGGTTTTTCAAAACACTGATGTTTGATGTAAGGGACCAGCCGCTCCCTACATCAATGCCGATACCAGCCAATACGAATACCAATTGCTATTGACTGGTATTGGTATTGTCATATCCATACCTCTAAACAATAGGAGATGAGGACCTAAGGGTGCCTTTATACAATAGGACTTGAAGGCTCAAGGGTGCCCTCATATAATAGGAGACGAGGATCTAAGGTACCTCTGTAATACAGGACTTGGGAACCTAAGAATACCCGCATAATAGAGAACTTGAGAACCTAAGGGTGCCCTGTAATATAGGACTTGGGGACCTAATGGTTCCCAACAATACAGAACTTGACGACCTAAGGGTACCCCTGTAATATAGGTTTTGAGGGCCTAAGGGTATCGCCATAATGTAGGGCTTGACGACCTAAGAGTATCGCCATAATATAGGACTTGACGACCTAAGGGTACTCCTATAATATAGGACTTGTGGACATAAGGGTACCCGCATAATAGAGGAATTGAAGACCTAAGGATACCTCTATAATAGAGGACTTGGGATCCTAAGGGTTCTCCACAATACAGGACTTGAGTACCTAAGAGTACCTCCATAATATAGGACTCGAGGATCTACAGATACCCCTGGACTATAGGACCTGAGGGCTCAAGACTCTGCCTTGGAATAGGCACTTGAGGACCCAAGACTTATCCCTAGGATAGGTGAATGAGGACGCAAAATCCTCTCCTAGAATAGCCAGATAAAGACCCAAAACAGTCCCTCAGGATAAGGAAATGAGGACTCAGTCGGACTGGGACCGAGTCTACTGGAACTGGTTCATCGCTAAGGAGAGGCTACCTCGATATTCCAATTCATTTCCAGCGATTCCCATCCATTCCCAGCCATTCGGAACGGCCGCGAATGAGATTTTTCCTCCTTGTTTAATGTTCTGTTTTTCCCAGACGAGAAAAGATAAGCAAGTATATAAATACTTTCATTGCTGCTTATGAAAACTTTTTTTGTTTACTTTACCTGTTTTACATTAGCAAATATTGATCAGAACTGGATCAACTTAGCTAAAAACCGAACCGACGCGAACTGAAACCAAGTTCGGTTTGAAACGTTGCCAACCAAACTGTGTCCATATCTGATACACATTATATCTTAACCATCGAATGCCCAAGCGGGGTCCATGTGGACTTCACTATAGGGAGGGTGTGGGTGTGGGTCACTGTGGGCAACCAGGCGGACATGGCCTCAAGTTCTATTTTCCAAAGTTTAAATTTTGGAATGAATATGTCTATGATCAGTCTATCCTAACCTAAACCTAGATTTTCAGAAATCAAGTTAAATCCTGGGAAAGGCCATTACCAAAAAATTTGTTCGTAAATTGCTAATTGTATGGAGACCATTTCTATTATCAACTTATCAAAATACTTTAAAATGAAAAGCTATCTCAACCGAATGATTAACCTATAAGTCTCATTGTGTGAAAAAATTATTTCGATCCAACCAGAAATAGAATAGAAAAAAGTGATTACTGGGCCGAAAGTAGGTCCAAAAGTCGATCATCTCGTATTTTGCGTATTCCCAAAGAGTTCTAATTCGATTCAGCTCAAACTTTCACCAATTGTTCTCCTATATGTGATTTATCGTTAGGCATAGCGCCGTGTCGCATCAGTGAACAGAAACAGAACTAGGGGTTTTCCTAAAGAACCAGGTTTCTGCCCAGGAATCATTAGTTTTGCGAATACAGAAATATTTTAGCGAGAAACCATGGTGATATTCGGAATTAGCTCGTCAAGTCACGTCGAACCACATATAACAGTAGGTGCTTCTCGAAAAAAACAGTCGATTCCTGCGCCCGGCAAGGTTCTGAAAACCGGTCCTTTGGTATTTTTTAACTCCCCTAAACAATTTTCGTCCGATTGAGCTCAAACTTTCACCAATTATTCTACTATATGTGATTCATCGTTGGCTATAGCGCCATTTCATATCGATGAGCACAGCCGGTGCTATGAGACTCCCAAAAAACCGAAGTTTTTGCCCCCGAATTCCTATTTTTGTAAAGAAAGCGTCATGTTGGTACAAAACCAAGGTGATATTCGGAATTGGCTCATCGAGTTGCATCGAACCATATATAATAAAAATGGTTATTTTGAAAAAACTTTTTGACCCTTATGCAAGAAAAGCTCAAAAAATGAGTCATATTGTATTTTTCGAACGTTACAAAGGTTTTCATTTGATTAAGCTCAAGTCCTTACCAACTGTATACTTCCATGTTAATTTATCGTTGGCTATCTACGCCGTATCGCGCGAGCAACCATGGAACGAGTTAAAAAACACCCTAAAACCGGTGTTTTGACCTGGGAACTGCCTTTTTTTTTCAATGAGAATAGCTTCGTAATGTAAAAAGAACGTGATATTCGGAATTAGCGTATGAAACTACATCGAACGAGGTACAACACGATATGTTTTCTGAGAAAACGATTTTTTCGAAAATTTAGTGCAAGGATTCCCCCAAGTGATTTTGGCAAAAAAAATTTTTTCACAAAGTGGCTTATTTTGTTACAGTTGGCTTTCTAAGTGATATATAACTCGCTCTGACTAATAAAAATCGGTTTTCAAGCAAAAAAATATGCATGTCCGCCTGCTATGCGAAAGTTGCCCACTGTGTGGTTGTGGAGTGTGGGTGTGGGTTTGGATGTCGATGTAGTTCTTCTGTTAACCCACACTCACACACGCACCCACACCCCACACCCACACACGCACCCACACCCACACCCCACACCCACACCCACCTACACCCACACCCACCTACACCCACACCAACACCCTCCATTGGATTCCATCGGATTCCATTCGATTCCATTCGATTCCGTCGGATTCCATGATTCCGTGGGATTCCGTAAGGTTCCATGGGATTCCGTGGGATTCTGTAAGATTCCACTGGATTCCAGGGTTCCAGGATTCCGCTTTCTCTCCCTTGCGTATATGTGTGGTGGACATTTTCCTTTCTTTCTACTTGACTTTCTTGTTTTCTTGTTCTTCTATGGATTCTCCTTTCATTGTCCATCATCCATGAGATTTTTCATCTTATGGATTTCTAGTACCTGTTATCACCCTCTGTATATTGCGTTGTATTCGTGTACGGGTGTGTATATACATATATTGATATATATATAGTGGGATACAGATCTCACATGAGTCCTGTCATTTTCATGCTACAGTCATGAAGTCCCCATTCTCACCATTCTTACCCTTAACTTCACTGGCGCGCTTGTTCCAACCCTCGGCCTCCCTCTCATCTTCAGTCCCCACCGCCGCATCTTCATGCAATTAAGGGTGAGAGTGAAAACGCTCAATATGTAATTTTACACAGATTGTTTGTTGTAGATTTATTTCAAATTTGTGATTGTACTTTGCGTCATACAATAGTGGTAAATTAACAGCAAAAAAAACGATGAGTTCAAATACCAAAAAAATTTGGATTGTACGTAATGAAGGAGAACAACCTGGAAAAGTGGCAGTTGATTTTGCTCAAATACAGGATTTGGATGATCTCAAAGAATTTCTCTTTGGTCCAAATGAAAAATCATTATACATAGGTCATTTTAAAGGCACAATACTTAATGTGGATGCCAGTATTCCAATAGATACTACTGCCAGCAATCCACTCATATTTCGCAAAGGTATACCAAGTACAGATATTTTAATATATAAAGAAGAAAGTTCGTTTGATTGTCTGTTTGTTTATTATTTATGCATTTGGGCCCTGTAGGAGTCAGTGCAGTCAAACTTTTCATGAGGTCTTCTTCCATCAAGGGACAGGTCGAGGGCTACTTATATTTCACAAAGCATGGGTCTTCCGTCTGGAAACGTCCATCTGTGTGCCCAACCAATAAAATTGCAGTATTTAATAGTATAGAAGAACTACTTAACAGCGCTCTGTGATCACATAGAAGACACACGTCACCATAGGTTTTCCTAGGCGGTGATTCAAATCTGGGGTGCATTTATCTCGAAATCATATTGGTTGGCCGAAAAGCAATAGGAATTCAGCTCTTAAGACACCGGCTAATCAAAATTGCGTTTTTGCGAAAACAGTTAGGCAGGGATTTTCAGAGGCGGGAAGTTCAAATCTAGGATTCATTCACCCCACATACCATTGGTTGGCCCAAAGCCAATAGAAATCGAGTTTTCGGGAAAACGAATATCGCTTAATGATCGGAAGAAGGACATCAGAAATCTAAAGTCTATTAAGCTCGACACCCTACTGGACCGCCCGTAACCTACTTGGTGGCCCATGGCAAATGCAAATCGAGTTTTGTGGAAACTGGTTTCCTGGAGATCGTCTGAGGAGGGAATTTCGAATGGGCAAGTCTGTCAGGCTCAAAAGTCTATGCATCAGCCACTAGCTCATATATATCGACCCCTTAGATTGCTAAAGGCTCTATTGCACAAAATTCTTTCTGTCTGTCTTCTTTTGCGACCTATCAGAATTAGGCATGTACCGAGCCCGAGCTTCTCGGGCTCGGTTGTTCCCGAGCTCGGTCATTTCTGGGCTTGATCATTCCCGGGTTCGGTCCATTTCCGAGCTCGATCATTCCCGGCTCGTTCGTTTCCGGGTTCGGTCCATCCCCGGGATCGGCCATTCCCGGTGTACCGATAGTTCCTGATTCAGTCATGG